TTTTTTGCTGTTTCCTCGTTGAGGGCTAATTGCATGCATAATAGCATACATATATCCATAGATAAATGCATTACCCATATTTCAAGATCCATATAAGTCACTTCTATTACTTAGTAAAATAAATTTTTGCTCTTGAGATGATTTTTTTTTTTTGCTTAAAAAATTTCTTTAAAAGAATAGTTACCAACGGACCTATCTCTTGAACTATATTACTGTGTGAAACCCATAAATCCAGGAGTGGAGTGCCAAGTTAGCAGTGACTGTAGCCCTAAGGTAGTTACTATTAGGGTAAATTACACTGACACCTCTTGTAGATTGGTCTAATTACAGGAGATCCCTTAGTTTTCTGAAATTACATTGACGCTACCTGTCAAGTTTTATCCCTTAACAAATATAACAAAAAATGCGATTTTCTATAATTACCCTTACCATACATCATTTTGTACTTAATATCATCTCATATATTTAAATACTAATAAATGGGTTATTTCCGGGTTCAATCCGTTAAACCCGAAATTAACACAATCAACCTGTTTATTTAATCATGTCAAACTTCCTTTATCTTCTCGTTTTTATGTTAACACGAACAACACGAAATTAATACGATCAATATATTTAACTAGTATTATAAAAATAAAATATTAATTATTTATTGTTGTTTATTAAGCACTGACATAATTATTGTATAAAAAGATATTGTTACTTATTATTATTATTAAGTTAATTTTTAGTTTACAGAAAAAGTATGAACATACATTCAATTAATTGATAATAAAATCTTAAACTTAAATTTTAGCGTTAACTTTTTTTTATTTAAAGTTTATATGGGTCAACATGAATAAGAACATAACCTGAGGGTAACCCAGTGGTGTGGAGTTGAACTCAAATGAACCATGGACCCAAAAATCAGGGGTTTAACTCTCAGTGGGGTCTTTTTGCCTTAATCGATACATGTGATTTATGGGTGATTGCAGGTATTTGGGGTTTATTCTTGGAGGGATGGGTCCAAACTCCAAAGTGGCCCTGGTTTCACGTTATAAAAAAATACGAATATAAACACAAACGCGATACAAAAATAAACAGGTTAACTTAATTTTATTCAAGTGTAATATAGTATTAAAGTATAAAGCGTTGATGATGTAATCACTTTTTTGACATTCCCAATAACAATGCTAACCGTATGAGTACTTTGTGAAATGGTTTGGTAAACAGTAAGAAGTGTCAGTGTAATTTCCAAAAATTGAGAGGGTGTCTCTGTAATTAGACCAATATAGAGGGGGTTTCAATATAATTTTACCCTTACTGTTATGACTCACAGATTTAATTGTAGAATTTTAGAAATCAGATAAAATTACTATTAATGCTGTAGCAGTGAGGGAGAGTCCATATGAATGTGTAAACTACGAAAAATTAATCTTTTATCTTTTTGTGACTTTAAACTTGCAATACACAGAGTGCCATTAGTCGACAAGATAATCAGGTTCCTGAAAAAATTACAGATTCCCACACTTCCAGCTATTGATCCGATCCCTAGTGTCAAGCATTGCTGCAAACAGGGAAGCTAAAGCACATACAGCTGTATGCTGTATGCGTCTTTCATGAGTTTATAAGTTTGGTAGATGTTATGCCAACATTTTTCTACTGCAGATATTAATTCCAAAGGCTAAGGTCATGATTGGAAATAAGGTATTTGGGGTCAGTACTGTCACCAGACTAAGCCAGGATCAATTTTTCCTAACTACAGCAAAATCCAACACAACAAGCAATCCCATTATTTGGCTGAGGCTCACCTATTCAAAAAACTTTAAAAAAGACCAATTGAATAAATAATGATAATTTTTACACTATCTGAACCAAAAAAAAAAGATANCATTTTTCTACTGCAGATATTAATTCCAAAGGCTAAGGTCATGATTGGAAATAAGGTATTTGGGGTCAGTACTGTCACCAGACTAAGCCAGGATCAATTTTTCCTAACTACAGCAAAATCCAACACAAAATGTTTGTGCGCAGAAGAACAAAACACTAGTTCCTTAATACAGAGCCCTACACCACTTGATAGTTTTAAATTGAACATCAAAAAATATTCTATCTTCCATAAGGATTCTGGACAGAAGGAAACATGTCACTTGTGTTATCTAGGAGCTTCAATTTGAAAAGGCAAAAGAATGATACCAAACCATGCTTGATTTTGACACTACCAGTAATCGCCACAAGAGCAGATTCCACCACTGAAACGATGGAAGCGGTTTGCATCCCTTAACACAATTTCACGCCGAAACACTTTTGATATATACTTGATTGCATTATGGCAGTCCACACAAACTCTAAGGTTTTTTATTATGCGGAGCAATGTAGACGGAGGAGTGCTTATCAGTCCAAAAGCTATCGCTAGCTTCTCACTGTGGTAATAGAGGGTGTGTTCTTTTTCTTCCTCCTCCACATCAAGCAAAACATAATCAATATCAGCAATATATCCTTCTTGTTTTATCATTCTTATCATGTCATCGACCTTTTCGTATATTGTCTCAGCTTGAGGATGGGATCTGTCATCCACCACAAACAAATGGACCTTATTTTTCACATCAATCCAACTAAACCCTGGATCTTTCTTGACATTCTTCCTGTGCATCATTTTTCTAGCATCAGTTACCTCATCCCACTTGTTGGCAGCAGCATAGATATTGGATAGAAGAACATAAACTGATGAGTCAGACGGCTCCAAGGCCAAGAGCCGAGTTGCCACCCGTGTTCCAGTTTCTCTGTCCCCCTGAACCCTACAAGCACCAAGCAGGGCCCTATACATTGCAGAAGAAGCTTCAAAGGGCATTGAAGCAATCAGTTTTTCTGCCTCCTGGAGACGTCCTGCACGACCAAGGGCATCCACAAGGCAAGAATAATGTTCGACCTCAGGCTGAATACCATAATCTTTCAACATGGACTGGAAATACAAGTAAGCTTCACAAATCAAGCCAGAATGGCTACAGGCAGACAGAACTCCAATAAAAGAAACCCGATCGGGCTCCATACCATGAATTTCCATATCTCTGAAAAGGTTTAGAGCTTCTCTGCCATGTCCATGTTGAGCTAAACCAACCAACATGGCATTCCACAGGGTAATGGATCGCACATCTATTCTCATGAATAAGCAATAGGCATCTTCTATGTTGCCACACTTGGCATACATGTCAATAAGAGAAGTGCCAACAAAAGGGTCCGAAGCATAATCTGACTTGATCACTTCTGCATGAATTTGCCTTCCTCGTTCCAGAGCTGTTGAGCAAGAGCTAGCTTTAATGAGGGTAGCAAAGGTATATTCGTCAGGTAGTACACCAGATTCTCGCATCTGATGGTATATTAAAAGAGCACAGNACAAAAGGGTCCGAAGCATAATCTGACTTGATCACTTCTGCATGAATTTGCCTTCCGCGTTCCAGAGCTGTTGAGCAAGAGCTAGCTTTAATGAGGGTAGCAAAGGTATATTCGTCAGGTAGTACACCAGATTCCCGCATCTGATGGTATATTAAAAGAGCACGGGCCTCATCTCCGTTTTCCACGCATCCTGAGATCATAGCTGTCCATGCAACATCATCTCGGGCAGGGATTTCTTCAAAAACTGTGAACGCATCCACCATATCTCCGCATTTAATGTACATATCGAGAATACCACTACCGACATATAATTCTGAACTAACCCCAAGTTTTACCGCATGAGCATGCATTTGCCTCCCCTGTTCCAACCCAACCGAGCCACTACAGGCTTTAGCCACAGTTGCTAACGTGATCTCATCTGGCCTTTCTCCACTTTTGTGCATCAGAGTGAAGAGTTCCAATGCCTTACGACAATTATTGCAATTTATATACCCAAAAATCATTGCGTTCCAAGATGCCAAATCAATTTCGTCTTGGTTTTGGAAAAGAAACTCTGCCTCTTCCATTTTTCCCCTCCGAGAATAAACATCAGTAAGTGCTGTGGAAACAAAACTGTCAGTAACAATCCCAGTTTTCAATGCCTGAACATGGATTTGTTCACTAAGAGATAGTCCAGGAGTAAGAGAAGCAACAGCCTTCAGTACAGTTGCCAACGTAAAGTGATCTGGCCTTAAGTCATCACGTAACAGATCTAGAAACAGTGTCACTGATTCCGCCTCTAAACCATTCTGCATACAACCTGCTATCATTGAATTCCTAGAAATTAAATCCATTTCCTGCATACCACTGAATACTTTTCTTGCAAAACTAAAACAACCCGCCTTCGAATACATGTTTATAAGACTATTTGCAACAGCAGTATCTAGATCAAAACCTGATTTAAAAGCCAAGCCATGAATCTGTTGGCCCAGCTCCATATCATTGGTAGCCACAGTGGCGGCAAGAGCAACAATCAATGTCACACGATCGTAACCTACATTTGATCTGCTCATATATAGAAAGCATTCAAAGGCAGCCCAAATTTCACCAGCTTGGTAATGCTGACACAGTGTTTTATTCCACAAAATCACGTCCAAAGTATCATTATACAAAAACAATTTAGTTGCATATGCTTGAACTTGTTCTACAAACTTGTTGTCTTGGTCAAACTTTACCTCAGGGAAACCACTAAGAATGCACTGCACACTAACGTCATCGGGACCTAACCCGCCATGGTGGAAATCTGAGAAGAAAGTACATGCTTCTTTCTCAAGACCCATATGCACATACGCTTTAAGCATGACATTCCACAGTACAGCATCCCGGTCACTTTCAGGCAAGTCATTGAACAAAACCCTGGCATCTGTAATTCGTCCAGACTTGCAATAGATATTAATAAGAGCACCAGAAACAAAGACATCCAGTTCCAAACCAATCTTAACGGCGTACCCATGAATTGCCTCCGAAGCCCAAACATATCCAGATATCAAACCCAACTTCAAGGCGGGAGCTAAGGTGTGTTTAGTGGGGGATACAGCAGATGAGCTATGAAGAAGGCGGAAAAGGCAAAAACCCTCATGAACCAGGCCATCATTGGCATCAGCGGAGAGGGCATAGGCGGCTAGGATAGAATTCCAGGTGACAATGTCTCGGTTGGGAGCTTTGTCGAACAGCAGGCGGGCATCCGAAAGGGACCCACATTTGGAGTACATTGTAATGAGGTTGTTGGTTGAAAATCGGTTGGCAGAATGGCCGAAGATGATGATATGCGCGTGTATGGATTTGCCAAGACGCAGGTTGCTTGTGGAAATGGCAGTGCGAAGGAGAGAGAACCATTGCGATGATGATGATGTTGAAAGGTGTAAATAGTGTGCACTGCTATGGCGAAAGGGTTGAAAGAAGGGGTTGGACAGAGAAGATAGAGGATAGCGAAGGAGGATGATCTTTTTGGTGGTCTGTATGGTGGGTCGAATATTGGCTTGCAATTGCATTTCCTGTGCTAACCAACATCTTTTGATTTCCCTCCAAACTTCAAACTTCAAACTTCGCCCTGGTTTGAGGTAATGAAAGGGTCCAACGACGTCGTATTAAACGATCGCTGGTTTGTTTGGGTCCGCACTTCGCAATTCCATTTTTCCCAGGAATAAGGTTATTGACTTTGAAAAATTACATTAACCTCCCCTAAAATTTATCAAAATAACAACTCCACTTCTTCAAGTATGAAGTCTATTATTGATCTTCCTTGTCAATATAGTCTATCTCATTTTTCTAATGGAAATATCAAATACTACACTATTCTAAATGAAAAAACATAAAAAAAAAAATATTTTTCCCAATATACAAAAATTGTCATTATATAATGGTTGTGATCCTTATAGAAGTATGATTATATCCAAAGCATTTCTCAACCTATTTCTATTCTGGCTTCTTTTGATACAACCTCCAGTAGCCTTCCAGGTGGAGTAGAGGCTCCGTATGAAGGGATTACGGCCCTATTTTGATTGAGTAGCTATCCAATGTGTTACTGGATTTGTAGAGCTATTGATGAGGTGAAATTGAACCGAAGGGATTTGATTTGATTTGCATTGAGAGTTATATCCCTCTAAATAGTCTCAACTTCCCTCAATCGAGTGGGTGGGCATTTGCTTAGAGTGTCGGTGGCCAATTTAGGGTGGAGAAAATTGCCCCCACTCTAATTTTAAAAACTTTTGGGCTTTATATAAAAATTTCAAAATTATTTAGAATTTTTTCCCACTAAATAGAGGCAGATTTATATATATATAGATATAGATATACTAAAATTGAAATTGATTGTGATCTAATATCGTGTGTGTGTGTGTATATATATATATATACACGCATAAACTAATTAAATTAAGTAGTTATGTAACGATATTAAAGTTGAAAAATAAATTTGTTAAATTCTGCTCCCATTTGTATCGGACTAAGTTTTAAAATCGGATTCAAATCAATCAAAACTCTATCCAAATATGATAGTTGCCGAGCCTCTTAACTATTTATTTGTGAGGTGGAATGAGTATTGACAATGTTGTTTTCTTTTGCCCCCACTATGAAGAACTCCGGGCTCTACTCCTGCTTGTCGTGCCAGTTTACATGCAACCCTAACTGAGCAAGCAGCCTCTGTGACCATCATAGAGTAGGAGAAATCCACGCGCAGGATTTGCACCTCTAGGTTTCGTCCTTGGTTTTGTAACCTTTTGTATATGATGCACTTGTGTGGCTGATGTATTTTATTTTCGTTTATTGTTTTGGTCACCTGAAAAATAGAAATGTTTCGATCCATTTCAAAAAAAAAATAAAAAAAATAATAGATGTAAGAATTATTTTTTCAAAACATTGATCGAAATATTCCAAAGTTTATTGAAATACCTAAAATATTCCAAAATAATTGTACAAATGNAATCGGTTGGCAGAATGGCCGAAGATGATGATATGCGCGTGTATGGATTTGCCAAGACGCAGGTTGCTTGTGGAAATGGCAGTGCGAAGGAGAGAGAACCATTGCGATGATGATGATGTTGAAAGGTGTAAATAGTGTGCACTGCTATGGCGAAAGGGTTGAAAGAAGGGGTTGGACAGAGAAGATAGAGGATAGCGAAGGAGGATGATCTTTTTGGTGGTCTGTATGGTGGGTCGAATATTGGCTTGCAATTGCATTTCCTGTGCTAACCAACATCTTTTGATTTCCCTCCAAACTTCAAACTTCAAACTTCGCCCTGGTTTGAGGTAATGAAAGGGTCCAACGACGTCGTATTAAACGATCGCTGGTTTGTTTGGGTCCGCACTTCGCAATTCCATTTTTCCCAGGAATAAGGTTATTGACTTTGAAAAATTACATTAACCTCCCCTAAAATTTATCAAAATAACAACTCCACTTCTTCAAGTATGAAGTCTATTATTGATCTTCCTTGTCAATATAGTCTATCTCATTTTTCTAATGGAAATATCAAATACTACACTATTCTAAATGAAAAAACATAAAAAAAAAAATATTTTTCCCAATATACAAAAATTGTCATTATATAATGGTTGTGATCCTTATAGAAGTATGATTATATCCAAAGCATTTCTCAACCTATTTCTATTCTGGCTTCTTTTGATACAACCTCCAGTAGCCTTCCAGGTGGAGTAGAGGCTCCGTATGAAGGGATTACGGCCCTATTTTGATTGAGTAGCTATCCAATGTGTTACTGGATTTGTAGAGCTATTGATGAGGTGAAATTGAACCGAAGGGATTTGATTTGATTTGCATTGAGAGTTATATCCCTCTAAATAGTCTCAACTTCCCTCAATCGAGTGGGTGGGCATTTGCTTAGAGTGTCGGTGGCCAATTTAGGGTGGAGAAAATTGCCCCCACTCTAATTTTAAAAACTTTTGGGCTTTATATAAAAATTTCAAAATTATTTAGAATTTTTTCCCACTAAATAGAGGCAGATTTATATATATAGATATAGATATACTAAAATTGAAATTGATTGTGATCTAATATCGTGTGTGTGTGTGTGTGTATATATATATATACACGCATAAACTAATTAAATTAAGTAGTTATGTAACGATATTAAAGTTGAAATATAAATTTATTAAATTCTGCTCCCATTTGTATCGGACTAAGTTTTAAAATCGGATTCAAATCAATCAAAACTCTATCCAAATATGATTGNATAAGGTTATTGACTTTGAAAAATTACATTAACCTCCCCTAAAATTTATCAAAATAACAACTCCACTTCTTCAAGTATGAAGTCTATTATTGATCTTCCTTGTCAATATAGTCTATCTCATTTTTCTAATGGAAATATCAAATACTACACTATTCTAAATGAAAAAACATAAAAAAAAAAATATTTTTCCCAATATACAAAAATTGTCATTATATAATGGTTGTGATCCTTATAGAAGTATGATTATATCCAAAGCATTTCTCAACCTATTTCTATTCTGGCTTCTTTTGATACAACCTCCAGTAGCCTTCCAGGTGGAGTAGAGGCTCCGTATGAAGGGATTACGGCCCTATTTTGATTGAGTAGCTATCCAATGTGTTACTGGATTTGTAGAGCTATTGATGAGGTGAAATTGAACCGAAGGGATTTGATTTGATTTGCATTGAGAGTTATATCCCTCTAAATAGTCTCAACTTCCCTCAATCGAGTGGGTGGGCATTTGCTTAGAGTGTCGGTGGCCAATTTAGGGTGGAGAAAATTGCCCCCACTCTAATTTTAAAAACTTTTGGGCTTTATATAAAAATTTCAAAATTATTTAGAATTTTTTCCCACTAAATAGAGGCAGATTTATATATATATAGATATAGATATACTAAAATTGAAATTGATTGTGATCTAATATCGTGTGTGTGTGTGTATATATATATATATACACGCATAAACTAATTAAATTAAGTAGTTATGTAACGATATTAAAGTTGAAAAATAAATTTGTTAAATTCTGCTCCCATTTGTATCGGACTAAGTTTTAAAATCGGATTCAAATCAATCAAAACTCTATCCAAATATGATAGTTGCCGAGCCTCTTAACTATTTATTTGTGAGGTGGAATGAGTATTGACAATGTTGTTTTCTTTTGCCCCCACTATGAAGAACTCCGGGCTCTACTCCTGCTTGTCGTGCCAGTTTACATGCAACCCTAACTGAGCAAGCAGCCTCTGTGACCATCATAGAGTAGGAGAAATCCACGCGCAGGATTTGCACCTCTAGGTTTCGTCCTTGGTTTTGTAACCTTTTGTATATGATGCACTTGTGTGGCTGATGTATTTTATTTTCGTTTATTGTTTTGGTCACCTGAAAAATAGAAATGTTTCGATCCATTTCAAAAAAAAAATAAAAAAAATAATAGATGTAAGAATTATTTTTTCAAAACATTGATCGAAATATTCCAAAGTTTATTGAAATACCTAAAATATTCCAAAAATAATTGTACAAATGTATTAAAATATTAAAAAAATCTCGAAACACTATGGAACACCTTAAAGTATTAGAATTTTAATTCTATTATTGATTCGTCTTGGTCTCTTTGAAAACGAAAATGTTTTGGGTGTTTCAATCATTTCGAAATGAAAATTTGATCCTTGACCATGATTTGACTCAATAATTTCGCAAGAAAAATATTTCATGAATGAGATGAAACCATTACGTAAATTAAATTATAAAAATAAACTAAGTACTTAAATTATGTACAAAAATAAATTTTTCACAGAATGAGAGAACTAGAGAGTCTTGAGGCTTGATAGCTGAGACATCAGAACACTTAGGGAGTTGAGAGTTGAGAGTTGAGAGTTGAGAGTTGAGAGCAAGTGAGAATTTTATTTTTTTTTTAACTGGAGCAAATAAGNAGAGTCTTGAGGCTTGATAGCTGAGACATCAGAACACTTAGAGAGTTGAGAGTTGAGAGCAAGTGAGAATTTTATTTTATTTTTAACTGGAGCAAATGAAACTTCAGAGTAAAATAAGACCAATTGTAATTTGCAACTATGATGGGTTGAAATGAAATACAATTGTTTTTATTTATAAAATATACAATGAAAATTAGCCGTTTATTTATGAACGTTTGTTGGGGTCAAATATACATAAAATACTTTTCAGAAAAAAATATACATAAAATACCCCATTTTTTTACCGTTCACCTTTTTCCAGGTAGAACTCAGAAGTATGTTGTATGTGCATTAGTGCAAGACAGCATGACTGTTTGACATAAGAGAGAAAGAAGCATGTGCTGATAACCTGGGTCTTGATGTGTAAGACAACAAGAGTTATTGTGCATTGAGTGCACTGTGCACCTAACTTTGAAAAAAATTTAAAGTTTCAAATTCAACGGTCTAACTTTTTTTCAAATGAAGAGCGGGCAGGCGGGACTGGCTAGGCTGGGTTGGGTAGGCGGGTTTTTGGGCTGGGTTTTATGGGTAGTCTATTGAACTGGGTTTTGGGGTGGGTAATGGGTTTGGGGGTAGGCTCAAGTCTTCTGTTGAAGGATATTGGACTTAGATTTGGGCAGGCCAACAATCTGCCCTATCGAGTTTTAGGCCTATTTTTTTGGGTCGAGTAACAGGATCTATGGGCAGCCCGAATTATGAACACCCCTGTTTATACACAAGATTCATTCATTATTGATTCAAAAACCCTAGTTCTTGATTTACAATTCTATCTATATGATAGATCTTCAATGTTTTATATTCTTTTTTAATATATGCTTAAATTCTTAAATAAATATTTGATTTACATCCAAATGCATGTTTTACATCCAAAAATGAAATATTCTTGATTAAAACACTAGATCTTGAATATTGTGAACATGAACGCTTCTACGATCTCTTGCATATTTTGCTTTAATTATTCTTTTACTTGAAAATTGTGAAGCTATGGATTGTAGTATACATGGATTTTATGGAAAAATGTTGTTATTATATCTTGAATGGGTGGAAATGATGATCATGGATTACACTCAAATTCGTACTGTAGAGTGTTAGAAGTTTTTCTACCTTGAGGGATTAGTGATTACCTAACTCTCGTAGGAGGTTTGATTTCTTACGAGGGTCAACTACTATTTGTTCACGTAGGTTCAATTCTAAATGCTAGTATATTATTCCTAAGAATGATTCGTCAATACTGAATGAGTCGATAGATAGCCTTCTTAAAGAGTTTGATTGGATGATTTGTATTTGTGTTTGTGGTGGGCGGACCAAAAAGGTTCGGTGTGCTAGTCTACCTACATACATGAGATACCATGTTTTTGAGATATGGTATTTGAAAATGATATCTTTAGCTATGAGATTTACTGTTTGTGTCGCAAATTTGAGATCGTTATTAAATATCATTATTTTACTGCAAAGTTTATGTATTTTTGTTACAAACTGAGACTTACCTGTTTTATATTTTTTAAACTTTGTTTGAGTTTGAGAAGGTTTTCCTACTAAGCTCGTTTGGTTATCCTACAATATAAACATTTTTCAGATTTTGGATTTGAAGAACATATCACATTAGATGAGCAGATTGATTTTGATGCTAAGGTGAATCAGGATGTGGATCCAAATTTGCAGGCTTAGAGATGCATCTTTTTAGTTTAATTTTCTGAAATTTGGTTAATAGACAATGTTATGAATACTTCTTATTTAGTTAGTTGCAAGATATTATTTTAATTTTGGGATTTAAATATGATAAGCTATTTTTGTTTTTTTTAGAATTGATTTAGTTTTTTATTGAAGCGACAGATGGTTTTATTATTTAACGGTTACTTTAGTACGCTCCCATGGATTGGATGGGTTCATAGATAGTTAATGTGTCTATTGTGGATTTTGAGGCGTTAAAATAAAAGACAGAAAGAGGAGAGAGATATAGAAATCCATGGTCAAAATCAAACGGCAAAATATGTCCCGATGAAGATGAAATTTTGGTATACTATTCTTTATGTTATGATGACAACATCTATCGAACTTAACTTATGTTTTTGGTGAGATCTCTACGGTCAAAATGAAATGGTACTTTGTGATTTGATTTTTATGAAAATTAAATATATTGTTGTGGCATCTAGGTTCATGGATTACTCGATTTCTATTGGATTGAGATTATGAAAAGGGGTACCAATCCAAATATGATCCAAATCATTGGTAGGTTGCTTCTATTCTGGGATGGACTCAGATTTTCCTACCATCATAATGATCCTATTATTTTGAAATAATTGTTAAAAAATGTTTTCCTATAAATTGGGTTATTTCTGATCCAAATATTTTTACATATCCTATATTTATATACATACATATTTTCCAGTTACGGAACGATGGATTTTATGAAAATGGTTTTTGATAAAAGGATGTGCATATAGGATTGACAGACAGAGGCCTAATGTCACATGCTAATCACTACAAGAAATCGGTGTTTAATGACCAAAAAATTCGTCATTTAATATTAAAATTTCGTCACTAAATGTCAACCTCCACCCAAAAAATCGTCCACTGGTTGGTGGGCGTGTGAGAGTCGAAAAAAGAATTTAGTGACCCAATTAAACTTTCATAGTTAATACTTACATTTTCGTAACGATATCAATTGATACTAAAGGTTAATATTCAACAACGATTTGTTTTCGTCGCACAAAATGGTTGGTTACTGGCAAAAATTTTTGTCACTAATTTTCTACTCACCAACAATTACTTTTTGTCACACAAAACTACTTTTAATGACGAAAAATTTTCATTGATCATTTGTCATAAATCGACATTTTTTTTGTTTCACCAAACTGTTATTTAATGACTAAAATTTCGTTGCTCATTTGTCATTTTTTAAGTCAACAATGTTTAATGTAAAATTCATATGATTGATGATGAAATTACTTTATCAGTTAACAACAATAAAAATTGTCGATAAAAGTTTTAGTGACAAAAATATTACGAACGAAAAAATAATCAGAGGTATGAATTATTTTGTTGCTGAAAATTAATTTATTTTTTATTAATCATTATTTTTAATCTCAATTTATCATTTGTGATTTCCTGATTTTCATCCCATTTCAATCATAATCAATACAAATATTANAGACTTACCTGTTTTATATTTTTTAAACTTTGTTTGAGTTTGAGAAGGTTTTCCTACTAAGCTCGTTTGGTTATCCTACAATATAAACATTTTTCAGATTTTGGATTTGAAGAACATATCACATTAGATGAGCAGATTGATTTTGCTGCTAAGGTGAATCAGGATGTGGATCCAAATTTGCAGGCTTAGAGATGCATCTTTTTAGTTTAATTTTCTGAAATTTGGTTAATAGACAATGTTATGAATACTTCTTATTTAGTTAGTTGCAAGATATTATTTTAATTTTGGGATTTAAATATGATAAGCTATTTTTGTTTTTTTTAGAATTGATTTAGTTTTTTATTGAAGCGACAGATGGTTTTATTATTTAACGGTTACTTTAGTACGCTCCCATGGATTGGATGGGTTCATAGATAGTTAATGTGTCTATTGTGGATTTTGAGGCATTAAAATAAAAGACAGAAAGAGGAGAGAGATATAGAAATCCATGGTCAAAATCAAACGGCAAAATATGTCCCGATGAAGATGAAATTTTGGTATACTATTCTTTATGTTATGATGACAACATCTATCGAACTTAACTTATGTTTTTGGTGAGATCTCTACGGTCAAAATGAAATGGTACTTTGTGATTTGATTTTTATGAAAATTAAATATATTGTTGTGGCATCTAGGTTCATGGATTACTCGATTTCTATTGGATTGAGATTATGAAAAGGGGTACCAATCCAAATATGATCCAAATCATTGGTAGGTTGCTTCTATTCTGGGATGGACTCAGATTTTCCTACCATCATAATGATCCTATTATTTTGAAATAATTGTTAAAAAATGTTTTCCTATAAATTGGGTTATTTCTGATACAAATATTTTTACATATCCTATATTTATATACATACATATTTTCCAGTTACGGAACGATGGATTTTATGAAAATGGTTTTTGATAAAAGGATGTGCATATAGGATTGACAGACAGAGGCCTAATGTCACATGCTAATCACTACAAGAAATCGGTGTTTAATGACCAAAAAATTCGTCATTTAATATTAAAATTTCGTCACTAAATGTCAACCTCCACCCAAAAAATCGTCCACTGGTTGGTGGGCGTGTGAGAGTCGAAAAAAGAATTTAGTGACCCAATTAAACTTTCATAGTTAATACTTACATTTTCGTAACGATATCAATTGATACTAAAGGTTAATATTCAACAACGATTTGTTTTCGTCGCACAAAATGGTTGGTTATTGGCAAAAATTTTTGTCACTAATTTTCTACTCACCAACAATTACTTTGTCACACAAAACTACTTTTAATGACGAAAAATTTTCATTGATCATTTGTCATAAATCGACATTTTTTTTGTTTCACCAAACTGTTATTTAATGACTAAAATTTCGTTGCTCATTTGTCATTTTTTAAGTCAACAATGTTTAATGTAAAATTCATATGATTGATGATGAAATTACTTTATCAGTTAACAACAATAAAAATTGTCGATAAAAGTTTTAGTGACAAAAATATTACGAACGAAAAAATAATCATAGGTATGAATTATTTTGTTGCTAAAAATTAATTTATTTTTTATTAATCATTATTTTTAATCTCAATTTATCATTTGTGATTTCCTGATTTTCATCCCATTTCAATCATAATCAATACAAATATTAAATGTAAAAGAATAATTTATTGCAATTCAACTCTTTTTAAGAAATTAACATTAACTTTTCATGTTTAATTTCACAAAAACCTAAGCGACAGACGTGGTGAAAAACCAATATAGAACTGATATTTTTACACTAACAATTTTTGTAATCATTGGAAAGCCATATCAAAATCAACACAAGCTCCTAAAACTTAAAGGCTATAATAATTGTGCTGCTATGGTCGGACCCTTTTAATTAAATGCCATAGTAATTAAAAGCTTACCATTGATGTGAAGGTGGAGGCAGAGTTGTAGGGCTGCTACATGGTTGAAAGCTCTTGACAAAGCCCTGTATTGCATGCATCTGCTCCTCCATCGGCCTCTGACACGCTCTTTTTCCTTGTTTTCTCTCCTCCTCCAGATGTTGCTCTAGTGCCCACATATTTTCCTCAACAGACTGTATCTACACCTTCAACTCACTAGTTTCTCTCTTAGCTATCTCATCATTTTTGTAGCTACCTCCACCTCTACATGATTGTACTTGCTCAATCTAATGGATGCAAAAAACTTGTCCATACCCTAACCCGCGGATATATCCTAACTTTGATCCAAGGACCATACTACTAACCTCACCGAGACATCTTCGCCTATCATCCAAAGTGGGTTGAGATCATATTTCATTCACCTGACTTTGTAAAAGAATCTATACGAACTGATGATGCACAAAACAATCTTTTGCAAGATCAACAGTCGAGTGTGATAAAATGTAATTAATGGACAATTAATAGAGCAATCAATGACAATAATGTAAATATTGAGTCAACACACAAATATATAGTGGTTCGGTGCAGATAACCTACTCTATTCCGGGAAACGACAACGATGGCGGGGGGACCTTTTATTGATTAAGTGAGGTGAATGAGAGAGAGCAATAATTAGTCATAGAAGAGATACAATAGTTAGGAGAGAGAAAAACTGTGTGGGGCGTGTAGAGAGGTGTAGAGATGCTTCTCTCAATGGAAAGAGCTTACAATTTATAAGCACAAAGGCTTAGTTGAGTTGAGGCGGTGACTTAAGGGGGAAGACACTAATTTTTCAGAGAGGATAGCTGCAAAAAGTAAGTACAATTAAAACGTATCTTGATCTTCAAGAGTAAGTATCCTGATAATTTCTTCCCATATGCTCTAATTCTTCTTGGACTCTTCGGACTTGGGTTGGGTCGAATTCACGAACTGGAGTTGATCTGTCTTTTTGTTGACTTGAGCTTACTTGATTTATTGGACCTGGCCTGATTGGATTTGGGCTGATCATTTGCCCCCCATGCCCCAAGGCTCTGATTGCTTGCAAGAGAAGGGGGTTGAGGGCATGAGTGTCTTCTTCACTTGGACGAGCTGAAGTTTTCTTGTTCCCTACAGTGGTTCTTCCATCTTCATAGACTATAAATCCTTCCCTTCACTTGAAATCACATTTATTAGGCATTCATGGCATTTGTCATTTCTTCCTTTTCCNGAGCTTACTTGATTTATTGGACCTGACCTAATTGGATTTGGGCTGATCATTTGCCCCCCATGCCCCAAGGCTCTGATTGCTTGCAAGAGAAGGGGGTTGAGGGCATGAGTGTCTTCTTCACTTGGACGAGCTGAAGTTTTCTTGTTCCCTACAGTGGTTCTTCCATCTTCATAGACTGTAAATCCTTCCCTTCACTTGAAATCACATTTATTAGGCATTCATGGCATTTGTCATTTCTTCCTTTTCCTGGTTCTTTTGTCATTCATGAAGAAATCCCTTATTTTTTTCTAGAAAAAATCTCATTAAAGGGTTTATAAAAACCCTCTCCACTTTTACTCCACCCCTTCTTTCTACTCTAAACCTTTTTCTTGTGGTTAAGGCTCAAAGTTTCTCTACCTATAAAATAATCAAAGAGGACGATGGAGCTGATCTTGAAAAGGAGTTTGGAGAGAAGATGATGGGGGGCTCCAATGGTGGCTTTATAGGGAAGAAGGTGGCTGCTCCAGAAGACCCAAGCATAACCTAGGCTACATTTGGCTTTGTCGTAATGGGTGACGCCAATTGGGGCCCTAGGTCAAGGTTAGGATAGTGTTGGGGGCCAAGGTGNAGAAGATGATGGGGGGCTCCAATGGTGGCTTTATAGGGAAGAAGGTGGCTGCTCCAGAAGACCCAAGCACAACCTAGGCTACATTTGGCTTTGTCGTAATGGGTGACGCCAATTGGGGCCCTAGGTCAAGGTTAGGATAGTGTTGGGGGCCAAGGTGGCATTGGCCTAGCAGGCGATGCCTCAAGTTGTTAGGGCGTGGGAGGCACGATAGATGGAAGCCCTAGTGGTGCTAGCAGGGGCTTAGGTCCCGTAAAGGAAGGCGACACCCGTGTGGGCGAAGTGGGTGAGGTTCAAAAATATTTCGGTGATTCGTTGGGCAACACCCCTCCTCTGTCAAGTCACGTGGGCATTGAGGCTTGTGGCGANTGTTAGGGCGTGGGAGGCACGATAGATGGAAGCCCTAGTGGTGCTAGCAGGGGCTTGGGTCCCGTAAAGGAAGGCGACACCCGTGTGGGCGAAGTGGGTGAGGTCCAAAAAGATTTCGGTGATTCGTTGGGCAACACCCCTCCTCTGTCAAGTCACGTGGGCATTAAGGCTTGTGGCGACGCCATTGAGTTGTCCCAGACACTAGGTGACGTCAATGAGTCACTAGGCAGCACTAATGCTTTGGGCGACATGGGGATCAAAATGGGCGCTTGCGAGAAGAGGGGAGTGGCTATGTTGAGGCGGACAGGAGCTTGAGTTGGGTTTGGCGAAGGTCATGTCAGGGCGAGATCCAAGGTGGTCATAAGCACTGAGGACGACGTTGGCGAGGGAGATGGCGACGCCCATGGTGGGCAGCGATCAACTGGCAACGCCAGCGGTCCTTTGGGTGTGCTTGTTCTTCAAACGGGTATAATGTTCTTCAAAAAATTTGGCCCAAGCCTCCACTCCATGGACTAAGTCTCAGAAATTTTTTCATTAAAAGTCACAGAACATTATTTCGAATCAGATCATCATCCAGATCAACACACAACTAGACTCCATAAAAAACCAAACAAATAGTGGTATTTCCTTGACATTGACCTTGATTTTGTCTTGGTTCTGTTTGTTGGCAGATACCCACTCTAACAAGGTCATCGTAGGGGAGGCTACTTGAGACATCGACCGAAGCAAGGGGACTAATGGAGATAATGGCTCAAATGTGACTTCCATTTNTTGGCAGATACCCACTCTAACAAGGTCATCGTAGGGGAGGCTACTTGAGACATCGAGCGAAGCAAGGGGACTATTAGAGATAATGGCTCAAATGTGACTTCCATATTCAGCTTCATTGACTATGATGATGATATCGCTCATATCGTATCTTCGAACCATATCCCTCATGCCGTCATGTATTGTTGGGCAGAGGAGCATGAGAAAGCGTGTTATGACTCATCGAGTGAGATTGTTCTTTATGAGGATGCCTTAGAAGCGGGTTTGAGGTTTCTGATACCTGGGTCCATATGTCAGGTCCTAGGACATCTTTCATTGGCTCCTGGGAGGTTGGCTCCCAACGGGTGGAGGGTGATATTGGCATGCTTCTCATTATGGTGGTTGGTTCACAATGTTGACGTCTCTCCCCCATTTGAGGAGTTTTTGGCTACGTATGTGCTTCTAGATAACTCCTTTAATTATCAAGGTGGCGTCGTTTCGGCCCGAGGTCGGGCAAGTTCATCACTGGGCTTCCTTCGAATTGTCATAGCTGGAAGTCTAAGTTCTTCTTTGTTGGAGGCGAGTGAGCCATCGAGGGAGATCGTGACCTAGTGCCTTCAAGGTGGGACACCGTCCTGAGGACCAAGCTAGGTAAGGATTCTACTTTTGTTTTTACTTCTAGTTGTCACATATCTACTCTCACTATATGATTGGCTTCTATGTAGTTTCACCCACATTATCTATGGAGCATGAGAGTAGGCTTCAGATAGTTCGTGACCATCCTTTCAAGGAATTCTCGGAGATCATGTCCGCGTCAAGTCATCCTAAAATTTCTCATAGGTTGAAGAGGAAAGGTACCTAATCCTTCTAATAGACTCTTGATGGTTACAACATCGTAAATTTTTTGTCTTACACCAAGTTTGTAGGTACTTTTATTGATAGGGTGTTGGTGGATGCTGTTTATGCTTTTAGGGTGACGTCTTCCCCTCTTTCTTCTAAGAAGGCGAGGCCTGATGCCCCTAGTGTTTCTCAATCGAAGTCTGCCGGCAAGTATAGTCCACAAGAGATAGGACTTGGTGATGCCCTCACTTTTTCCCTAATGTGGTACCATCGCCTTCTAGAGCTTATCCTAGTATGGCCGTAAGGATTGAGGCTTTAGTGCGGTCTCCTACGAGGACCGAAGCTCCGCCTGACGGTCCTACTTCTAACAGTGGTTCGATGTCCATGCTATAGGATGTGAATCTAGCCAAGGAGCGAATGTGGGGGTTTGTGACTGCCTCAGAGATCTAAGAGGTTGGTTCTCAAAGTCTAGAGGGCATCATTGACACAGCGATGGAGGGCTTTGCTTTGGTATGCCCTTTACTCATCTTTGATCTTGTACTTGACTTCCTTCTTTCATGCTCTGGCTTTTGGATACGTATAGGTGGCTGCTGTCTTTCCTTGTTTATTTTCGAGCACGTTGAAGCTTAGAGAGGCACTTAGTGGTCAGGCAACAGAGAGGTAGGTGTAGAGGGATATTGAGGAGCAACTAAGGCTCGAGAGGCAAACGTAAGAGGTTACCAAGGAGGATTCAAGGCTAGCACACAAGAGAGCAGCCACACTTGAGACCGAGCTTTAGGCATCCCGTGAAAGGACCGCCTAGTTAGAGGCTAACAGAGAGGCTACTTGTGCGAGAGCAGAGACAGAGTTGTGAGCGTTCCGTGAGGGGGCCGCTAAAGCAAAGACTGACTTCGAGTGGCTCTTGAGAGAGCTACCAGGGCAGAGGCATACTCCATAGAGATGGAAAAGAAAAGAGATGCTGCTGAGAGGGCCGTGGCAGACACCTTTATTGATGGCTATGAGGAACTCAAAGGGAAGGTCTTAGATGATTTTTCTGCTTATAACTTTTCTGGCTTCGTCCCATATGACATTTCAAGGACTAATGATGAGGTGGTGAGCGAATTAGAGGTGAATAAGTGATGTCAGGATCAAGGTATCTTTGTATTTGTGTTTTTGTTGCTAGACCATGTTTTATCTTTTGTAAATTCTTTATGAACTTTTATGAGATACGACTTTTGAAAAGTCTTTCGAAATTTTAATTCATAATCCGAAGCAAATAACAATAAAAATTGACCAAAACAACAATAGATAATTTAAATAGTGACTACTGACTTGTACACCCACTACCGTGCCCCCAGCTACTGGTAATATTTCTTTAGATACTTTGCGTTCCATGGATGGGCCATAATTTTTCCCACAAGATTCTGGATTTTGTAGGTGCCTAGTCTTATAACTTTCGTGACCGCGAAGGGTCCTTCCCAGTTAGGTCCTACTTTCCCTTCCCAAGAGTCTTTGATAGACAGGATGACCTTTTTGAGGATTAGGTCCCCGGGCAAAAAAGAGCGAGGTTTTACCCTTAAATTGTAGTACTTGGTCATATGATGCTTGTACTATGCATTCTTGAGCATGATTATCTCACTCTCCTCGTCTACCAAGTCGAGGTTGATGCGGATGTCTTCATCATTACTAGTAGGGTCATGGTGNCTAGATAACTCCTTTAATTATCAAGGTGGCGTCGTTTCGGCCCGAGGTCGGGCAAATTCATCACTGGGCTTCCTTCGAATTGTCATAGCTGGAAGTCTAAGTTCTTCTTTGTTGGAGGCGAGTGAGCCATCGAGGGAGATCGTGACCTAGTGCCTTCAAGGTGGGACACCGTCCTGAGGACCAAGCTAGGTAAGGATTCTACTTTTGTTTTTACTTCTAGTTGTCACATATCTACTCTCACTATATGATTGGCTTCTATGTAGTTTCACCCACATTATCTATGGAGCATGAGAGTAGGCTTCAGATAGTTCGTGACCATCCTTTCAAGGAATTCTCGGAGATCATGTCCGCGTCAAGTCGTCCTAAAATTTCTCATAGGTTGAAGAGGAAAGGTACCTAATCCTTCTAATAGACTCTTGATGGTTACAACATCGTAAATTTTTTGTCTCACACCAAGTTTGTAGGTACTTTTATTGATAGGGCGTTGGTGGAGGCTGTCTATGCTTTTAGGGTGATGTNCACACCAAGTTTGTAGGTACTTTTATTGATAGGGCGTTGGTGGAGGCTGTCTATGCTTTTAGGGTGATGTCTTCTCCTCTTTCTTCTAAGAAGGCGAGGCCTGATGCCCCTGGTGTTTCTCAGTCGAGGTCTGCCGGCAAGGATAGTCCCCAAGAGATAGGACTTGGTGATGCCCTCACTTTTTCCCTACTGTGGTACCATCGCCTTCTAGAGCTTATCCTAGTATGGTCGTAAGGATTGAGGCTTTAGTGCGGTCTCCTACGAGGACCGAAGCTCCGCCTGACGGTCCTACTTCTAACAGTGGTTCAATGTCCATGCTATAGGATGTGAATCTAGCCAAGGAGCGAATGTGGGGGTTTGTGACTGCCTCAGAGATCTAAGAGGTTGGTTCTCNATGTCCATGCTATAGGATGTGAATCTAGCCAAGGAGCGAATGTGGGGGTTTGTGACTGCCTCAGAGATCTAAGAGGTTGGTTCTCGAAGTCTAGAGGGCATCATTGACACAGCGATGGAGGGCTTTGCTTTGGTATGCCCTTTACTCATCTTTGATCTTGTACTTGACTTCCTTCTTTCATGCTCTGGCTTTTGGATACGTATAGGTGGCTGCTGTCTTTCCTTGTTTATTTTCGAGCACGTTGAAGCTTAGAGAGGCACTTAGTGGTCAGGCAACAGAGAGGTAGGTGTAGAGGGATATTGAGGAGCAACTAAGGCTCGAGAGGCAAACGTAAGAGGTTACCAAGGAGGATTCAAGGCTAGCACACAAGAAAGCAGCCACACTTGAGACCGAGCTTCAGGCATCCCGTGAAAGGACCGCCTAGTTAGAGGCTAACAGAGAGGCTACTTGTGCGAGAGCAGAGACAGAGTTGTGAGCGTTCCGTGAGGGGGCCGCTAAAGCAAAGACTGACTTCGAGTGGCTCTTGAGAGAGCTACCAGGGCAGAGGCATACTCCATAGAGATGGAAAAGAAAAGAGATGCTGCTGAGAGGGCCGTGGCAGACACCTTTATTGATGGCTATGAGGAACTCAAAGGGAAGGTCTTAGATGATTTTTCTGCTTATAACTTTTCTGGCTTCGTCCCATATGACATTTCAAGGACTAATGATGAGGTGGTGAGCGAATTAGAGGTGAATAAGTGATGTCAGGATCAAGGTATCTTTGTATTTGTGTTTTTGTTGCTAGACCATGTTTTATCTTTTGTAAATTCTTTATGAACTTTTATGAGATACGACTTTTGAAAAGTCTTTCGAAATTTTAATTCATAATCCGAAGCAAATAACAATAAAAATTGACCAAAACAACAATAGATAATTTAAATAGTGACTACTGACTTGTACACCCACTACCGTGCCCCCAGCTACTGGTAATATTTCTTTAGATACTTTGCATTCCATGGATGGGCCATAATTTTTCCCACAAGATTCTGGATTTTGTAGGTGCCTAGTCTTATAACTTTCGTGACCGCGAAGGGTCCTTCCCAGTTAGGTCCTACTTTCCCTTCCCAAGAGTCTTTGATAGACAGGATGACCT